GGTTTCTAACACTGTAATAATACTACCGTGCGCACGGACGTTAAGACGTATGTGTACACATTCGTAAGTCCTTAAAATGCTCAAATTACTCTTTTCCTTTAAGATTCCTTTTAAAATTCTCAAAATTACTCTTTAAATAGAGCATGTTTTAGCATATAATACTTTTCAATAAGAACCGTGCGTGCTTCGTGAGGGTCAAAGTACGGCGGATCACCTAACTAGTCCTCAGTGACGAGTTCAAATCTAGTATATATTATACCAATAGGTTAATCATTCTCATAGAGCGAACGAATCACCGTTGAAGACCTGGGTGCTGATTGAGACCGATGGTGAAGTTGTTATTGCTCATTGTGATTGTATGGCAGGGTATGTTATAGTTGATTTAACAAATATCTTTAAATTTAAATGTTTTGTTGTTCTAAAATTAATAAAGCCTGACAAATTTATAGCATTTGATTAATATTTTTTTCATCAACAGGTTGTGTGAAGTTTGCAGCCATGTAGGTGCAGTGTTGTTCGCATTGGAGACAGGAACTCGGATCCGGGATACACAAACTTGCACGGAGAAAAGTTGCCAATGGGTTTTGCCTACCAGTTTAAAACAGGTATTTGTCCAACCCAAATTTATGTATTTGTCTACTTTATTTTTTTTAATAGTGGCATGTAATTGTGTGACTTCAAATTGCAAAATGCATTCCTTTAGATTCTTTAATTTAATTTAAAAAATGCAGAGGAATTTACGATTCAAAATTGTAACCCATATTCATAATTTTTTGAGTAACATGTTCATTGTATAATTAATTGTGTAGAAATTCAAAACATTGATTTTGCATCTGCGAAAAGGAAGAAGAGGGAGGGAGTTGGACAATGAGTTAACTTCACCGACAGCACTACGTCGTTTAAATTCACAGTCACAAGTGTAGGCAATCACCCCTACTGAGGAGGAGAAACTTGGTTTTTTTTAAAGCTGTAAGTACTGTATTTTGATTATTTAGCATAAACAGGTTTTAGATGAACCCACCACCATATTTGTGTTGGCCCTTTATATGAGAGTACAAAAAATGACAGTACTGTGCATGTAAATGTAGTGTTAGCAGAGGTAGTGGCCTCTATAACTGTTAAGGTCAAAGTGCGTATCAAGGCGAAACGAGAACAGCTGAGGAGGACGAGAAACGTGTTTGACATAGGTGTAGGCCTATTGTAATAATTTGTTAGTTTTTCGAAACACAGAATTCATGGATGCAAGGAGGTATATATCATAACTTAGATTATCGTTTATTAATATTAGAATACACATATAAGTCGTCAGTTCATTAGCTACACATTTTATAATAGTTTTAAACTGTTTCTTATTCATTGCAGTTTTCACGTAACCAACAATAACCATTGCAAACTCTATGCCTGATTCATGTATTGTAGCCTGCGGTTATTGATTGATATTAAAACGAGGTTTCAGTAGAGACCCTTGCCATCTAGTTATCCGAGTCTCCGAGAGTTTAATTAACTTTACAGTGCATGTTTGTTATTATAGATAAGTGAGACTGGTAGCAAATCATCAGTATTGTCGATAAAACCAACACAACGATTGCCGATTGATTTGACAACTCTCTTTGATGTTGAGGCTCTGAAACTGCAATTTCATGAACTTTTGACCAGGTGTGCTGAAGTGGGAAAAAACATCATAGTGACAGAGGAGATGTAATATAACTTTGAAAAACTGACAAGGGATCAGGCTTCTTCAAAAGAATGGTACATACAGATTGGGTTGCATAACAGCGTCAAGAATGAAATCTGCTTGTCACACTGATCCTGCCAAACCTTCACCGAGTCTCATAAATTCGATCTTTTCCCTAACAAGTTCAGATTTACAAATGAAGCTACCAAGTAAGTCATATTAAACTTTTTTTGTGATGAAGGAAATGTTGTTTTTTTAACTGCTATGGAAATAGTTTACTCATTTAAAAATTGTGTTAATTTTGTTGTATTTCAGATGGGGATGTGATCATGAGAAAACAGCACAGACTCTCTATTTCAGTCTTCAGAAGTCCAAGCATCAAGAGTTCAATGGTAAAGATGGTGGTCTTCATTTGAACCCAGATTACCCATACATAGGTATGATGGAGTGGTGGAGTGTGAATGTTGCGGGAAAGGTGTTTGTGAAATTAAGGTATATAATCTTCCCTTATATTTTGTTTTTCTAATAAAAAGAAGTTACTGTTATATTTTTTTTTTACTGTATCTTGGCCTTTTTTGATTTACATGTTAATGGTTTTTCAATTTATAGAGCGAAAATTACAAAAAGTCTCGAAGCGCTAAGTAAAACAAGTGTAAGATGATGTTCAAGGAAAAAAGAGAAAGTCAATGCCAACACCTAAACTGGAGTATGGGGATACGCCCTCATCGCTAACCAGGGTTAAATTATACAATAATCGGGGAACGGCTGCGGGGCACAAGAATAGGTTTTTTTTCAAACTGAATACACTTTAACAAAACATCTTTCATTATCTTCCAGTGCCCGCTATGCTTTAAAGGTGAAACAATCGAAGACACTGCGGCCAGTAAGAAATCTTGTATTCAACAAACAGAAAATGGGATTAAATTGGAAAGAAAGCATGCTACTATCAGGTCCAGACACAAATTCTAATTTGTCAAACAAAGTATTGCGACTTTGTTGTGTTCACAACTAAGGAAATAAGCATCAAAAGGATATACCCAGATAAAGATTTCATCAAAAGTATGGTAGAGAAAGCTAGGCATTTTTTTTGGAGTGGGCATCCTTTCTCAACTTGTTGCCAACTGGTACAGCTCACAGGTATTAAAGGCTCCAACGCGAAATGATGAAGCAGGGCTATTTTGCTATTGCAAAAAAAAGGATGATGGTAGATTACAGGTGGCATGTGGAAATCAAAACTGTGCATGGCGATGGTTTCATTTGGATTGTCTTGGATTGAAAGGAGTGCCATAGTCTAAGAATTGGCTGTGCCCTACATGTTGCAAGATGTCACACTTAAAGACATTACAATTAATGATGCCTATGAAACAGTAATTAAGTCCACAGTTAACATTTTGTAACTCAAATGCTGCAATATACAATATTCCATATTTTTCTTAACCCTTATCGTGTCGTAGGCGCAATAGTGCGACAGCAAAAAATTTACCGTTGAATGCCCTAGGCGCACTAGTGCGACACATCCAAGTATACATGGATTTCGCCCTCTATACTGTCTATATATCATTCTGATGCTCATATGTTTTTGCATCCGGGTTACTTACACTTTGAACTTCTCGAATAAACAAAAATCTTGACAACTTTTATTGAAAAATATTTTATATATCAAACAAAAATGTCAACTTATTTTTGAAAATTTCAGTGTGGCTGCGCAGCAGCGATATACTGTGGAACGAGCCATACACTATGTTTTTGATGATAATAGTGTGGATAGTGACCAGGAACATTTTTGTGGAATTATAATTGTGTTTCTGTAGGCTAGTGAGAGTGATGAGAGTGATGGTTATGATGGGAAAGAAGCTAATATCACCGGTGGTGCAGCAGGGACGAGGTAGGACTAGGGCCTAGCCTAGGCCTAGACGAAGTTAGGCCTACAGTAGCCTATACAAAGAAATAGGCCAAATTGGATGGCGGAAACGGAACATTTCCCTGATTGTAAAACAATTTTTTTTACAAACCAGTATCACATATAGAATATATGTGCTATGAGGATTATTTTTTTTTTATAAATAGTTTTTTGTTTAGGGTTCAAGAAATATGTGAAAATTTCATTTAAAGAGAGATACTAATTTCTGCTGTGTAATTATGTAGTTTTGTAAAAGTAAACTGGCATGCCAGAATGTCACGCACCAGCGATTTTCAGCATGCTAAGGGTTAAATTATACCTTATAGTACAAATGTTAACATACAGTTATGACAAAATACAGGCAATAATATTAGACTCATTTAACTCAAACTATTGTACATATATATTTACAAATCTTCATTGTAGTACTGTACTTCAAACAAGTGCTTTTTTACTTGCAATATTGATTCAATGTACTGTAATTAAATACCGAAGCCGATTATTTTGAGTTTTATTTTAAATTAATTTACCTCTGCAATATAGTACATGCTGATTTACAAACTTTCACAGTATGTATTGTATAGTAATATTCCAAAATGGTACTTTTTTCAAATTTAAATACCAAAGATGATTAAGACAACTCTCCACTATATGTATTGTACTAGTATTTTTTTGGGTTGTGATTTTTTTTACAACTTACAATACTGATTCTATGTACTGTACTTAAATACAGAAGCTGATCATTATCTTAAGTAAGTTTTATTTTTAAATTAATTTGCCTCTGCAACTATTTTACATATTTATTTACAAACCTTAACAGGGAAAAGTAAGGAGTTTTCTAGCCAAAAGGCGGTGGGTGGACCACACACATTTTCGCCAGCCACAACAAAATCCCCATACAGTAATAGCCGCATGTGGCTGACGGGCAGCAATCTTCCCACTACACTTTAGAATTGGTTAAAACTCTTACTTGTGGTTGGAGTTATGGATTCTTCTACATCACAAATGAGTTTGAGTTGTCCTGCTATCCAAGACACAAGGCTGGTAAAATCTGGAGAACATGAGCCTGCACGGAGAGCCTCTGCAAACAGGTCTTCCTGAAGAAAAGGTCCATCATACCTGCAAAAAATATATAGATCTGCCTGGTTAACTAAAGATTCCAATGCTCACCATTCAATCAGGAGTCTCCCCAATTTTCTTGTAATCTCTGTCTCCCAAATTTTGTGAAATTATTTTCAATTTTCAAAAATAGGTACCTAAAAGGTACTGTACATGTGGCTACTGAGCTCATAAAAAGAAATACTGGTGCGGCGCTTTTCATGCCCGTTCCCATGTTACATATCTCACATTCCCGTAGTACAGTAGGCCTAACATAAGTCCAATGTCATAGTAAATTAACACTTTAATACAAAAAAAAAAGAAATACTTGTGTATTCATTGTGTTATTTATTTATCTTAATAACACTGTATACATTGTATTTAAAACCCAAATTCTTTAGTTACACAATAGGTACTAACATACTCTTAAGAGCCACGACGGGGCGATTTTTTTAGCATTTAGGGTAATTCAAAACTATATAATCTGATTCCACGATTTTGTAACAAGATAGCAATAAAGGCTTTTATTTTAATTATAGGTCGGTTTATTACAGAAAACATATTTTTAAAAACTTTTTATCACTTGCAAATTGACATTTTATTGGACATTTCAAACATTTTTGCCTGCAGTCTGGATGTTTAATTTTGTGAATGAAAATTTCCCAAATAGTTGTCTGTACTGAACACGATGGATCAATCAACATCATTCTTTAATATTTTTAGGCCATATCTTGCGTTGAACTTTTTGGTTCCTGAGAGCTGTATAACCTTAGCTTTTATGGTTATGAGTTTAGTGTTGAGTTTGTTGTTCTGGGTTATAAATTCCTAAATTTTGAATGGTATCTCTTCCAACTGCTTTATTTTAATTTTTGAGTTTATAAGAATATTGGTCTAAAAATCCCTCATTTTCACTGGACTTTGGTTTTCAATAGTTCTGGAATTCAGTGTGCTATGAAGCAGAAAAAACAGTTTCTTGGAAATTGTCTGCAGTGGTTTGTAATTGTAATTAGAAGTACTGATTGGTACTGAAGATACAATATGAATGTAGGCTTCCCATGTCTTCTTTTTTTTTTTGCCATATTTTTCAATTCATTAACCTGAAATGATAAAGTGTAAAATGCAAAATTAATTATTCATGGTGAAAAATTAGTGAAATATGAAAATGACTATAGATTTTTTAATGAAGCTTTACATACATACCTTAAAGGCACCCTTGCAG